CATTAAAAGTAGTGTAAAATTATCCATATGGTCGTAATGTAAACAAAACTGCTGAGTGAACTTTAAAGGCCTCTGGGGCAGAGCCCCAAGGAAATTTACCTCGTTTCTCTTTTGAGGGCTCACCTACAGACCAATACCTTTCTTTAGACACCCCTACCAAGTTTCTACACTCAGCCGTTCTCTCAAATTAGCTGTGACAAAACCCTGTTTTTCCTCCATAAGAATAACATGGGATGGGAATTTAAAGGCCACTGGGGCAGAGCCCCGAAGGAATTTACCACGTTTCTCTTTTGATGGCTCATCTACAGACCAAGACCTTTCTTTAGACACCTCTACCAAGTTTCTACGCCCAGCCATTCTCTCAAATTAGCTGTCACAAAGAAAAACAGTTTCAAATTAATATATAGATAAGCCCGTTGGCTGTAAACCAATTAGATAAATTAAGAATAGAAAGACTGATTTCTTGTTTGAGATTTTGCAAATTATTTGATTTAACTATTGCTGTAGTGTCATCAGCATATAAGATAAGGTTAGACGATACATTTCGAGGTAAGTCATTAATAAATATTAAAAATAGCAAGGGGCCTAGTATTGACCCTTGCGTAACCCCACATTTAGTGTTAAGCCACTGTGAAATACATTTTTTACAATTTTTTACGATTATTGTTCTTTGATGTCTGTTAGTCAAATATGAATGCATCCAAGACAGAGCCATATCAGAAAATTCATAATATTTAAGTTTACTCATTAATATATTGTAATTTACACAATCAAATGCCTTGGATAGATCACAGAACACCGCAGCTGTGCTCTGAGACCCATCCAAGCCATCAGAAACCTGATTTATGAAATCTGAGACAGCAGATATAGTGTTTTTCCCAGATCTAAAACCATATTGTTTATTGGTAAATAAATAATTATTTTCGAAATATGAATAGATTTGGTTGTAAGCAATATTTTCAAAGATTTTAGACAAAGATGGGAGTATTGAAATAGGACGATAGTTATCAGGGTCCATTACTGAGCCTTTTTTGAAAAGTGGTTTCAGCTCAGCATTTTTTAATTGATAGGGAAAAATTCCTTCATCAAAACATTGATTGATTACTAGACACAGAGGCTCTGCAATATGGCTTATGACATTTTTAATTAATTCAATAGGAATTTCATCCCATCCAGAAGATTTTTTATTTTTTAAATTTCTAACGGTTTTTTTAATTTCTAAAATTGGTACATGTCTGAACTGAAATTTCATTCTTATATTATTAGGCCTACTAGTATTATTAATCAAATTAGTTGCAGTGTGTAAGCAAGGCATACAATTTATATTTTTGTAAATGTTACAAAATTTATCATTGAGAAAATTTACCACATTTTGTCCATCTTTTAATTGCTTGTCTCCGACACACAAATCAGGGAAATCCAAATGATTGGAATTCAGGACTCCAAGTTCAGACTTCACAACATTCCACACCGCTTTGCTCTTATTATCTGAAGATGATATAACTTTACAATTAAACATTTTCCTAGCCTTATCGCAAACCGCTTTGAATATTTTTCTATAGTTTTTGTAATACTTTTTAAAATTAACATCTTGAACCGTTTTGGCAATAGTGCTTGGCTCTCTTTTTCTCTGACTTGATATTTTAATACCTTTAGTCACCCAGCTTTTCCTATACCGTATTTATTTTTGGGTGGTTTGTTAGTGTAAAATTTAAGAGGGGAACATTTATCAAAATTTACTAACAAACAACTGATTGAAAAAATGGTTAAAATTAGTTTGAGCATCTTGTTGAGGCAATGTATTCCAATTAACTCCTGATATGTGTTGATAAAAAAGCCCTTTATTTTGTTTTGAAAATAATCTTTTTTTGTACTGTATTTTTTTGCAAAGTGCAGTATTTCTTGAAATTTCAATAAAAAGTGCCCTGTGATCCGAAACACCTAGTTCAAGGTTCATTTTAGATCTTATATTCTGGTTAAAAACAAAGTTGTCATTAGTTAAAATATTGTCAATGCATGAGCTTGTATTTATAGTTATTCTAGTTGGAGAACGAAAATTAATTGTAAAACCGTACATGCTGATTAAATTTAAAAACCTAGTTTTATGGCTGGGTGAGCTGCAGGTTTCTAAAATATCTATATTAAAATCTCCTGCTATACAAATCTGATAAGTTTTTACATATTTTTGTAGCTTAGAAAGTAGCAATTCTAATTTATCTATAAATATTATAAAATTATTCTCATATGGAGTTCTATAAATTGAAACAATAATAACATTGAAAATAGGTATTTCAATACTACAAACTTCAAAAATACTTTCTTCATTGTATATATATATATATCTGTCATTTCTTTAAAAACATAATCAAGTTTCAAAAGTATGCATGAACCTCCCCTTGCAATTGAGCTTCTACAATAATAAGCTGCTAACTTAGACTTGATAACAAATTTATTTGATTATCCTGTAAACAATGCTCATTCAAACACAATACATCAACATTTGAATCATCCAAAAATAAGTGTATATCATGCAGTTTTTTCACCAGACCACCCTGAATATTCAAGTGCATGATAAATGCATTTTTCTTATTTGCACAAAAGGATTGACCATATTCCCACTTAACACATTTTTTATACAGATCAAAATGACACTCTTTGCAATTTACACAGTAGTTATCTTGGTCTAAAAGGCTTACATTAGAGGATTTATCAGCATTTAAAAAAGATGAATTTTTATCAACATTTAAAGGAATTATTTCTTTGGGGTAAGATAAATTTTCTTCAATTTCTCTTTGTTTAGTAGTTAATGTATGGATTGAATTGGATTCTTTTGGAAACTCTGGATAAGTTTTAACACATGATATACTCTTATACTTAAAGCTAACCCCCTTCAAATTTGATGACAAATTGGTATTCATAAAAAACTACTATTATTTAAAGACATTTGACATGGTGGAACTTGAATATTTACACTATTTACACTCTCTAATGCGCCACTGCTCTGCTTTTTAACACTTCCCGGAAGCTTGACCACTTCACTAAACTGATATATAATATGAAATATAATATGAACCTTGATGACTCCGCTCAATTTTTTGGATGCCTCTGCGAACGCCACCTAGTTATGAATACAGCTGTCCAAACTATGCTAACACGTTCGCTGCTGAAAACCTTTATACAAGCGCTCGTAAACTGCGGCGAGGCACGGCACTTGGTTTTTTTTTTTTTTTTTTTTTTTTTAAGAGGTCGGCTGCATCTTTTACCTTGCATTTTCCCGTCCACATAGACTACAAATCTGTGCATGGAAAGTATCCAGGAAAGCAAGGGGTGAGCCGGTACAGTAAATGTTTGCGGCATTGACCAGGATCCGAACCCACGACATCGCTGCCTTGGGCCCGAAGTCCGCGGCCCTACAAACTGAGCCACTGACTCACCAAAGTGGTATGCCTAACGGTTACGGAGATAATTTAAAAAAGTTTAAATTTAAAATTAACATGTTATTCTTATGGAGAATAAATAAACTGTTGTAGTTTGTTTGTTTATGGATATATTTTGATCAAAGTTGGCAATTTTGTTTATTTCATACTAAGCTATCAACATTTCAATAAAAAAAAACACACATCATACCTTCCCTGTAGCAGCAAACCTAGGTACTCATTAAAAGTAATGTTATTGAAATAGGAAATAAATGTGAACATTTTTAGGGAATATTGTAGTAGAAATACAGCCAGGTAAATGGAAATTTGCTTAGTCTGCAGGTTTGCTGCGGTGAGGGTATTTACTTGTTTTGTCCAACCAACATAGTTACTTGGCAACCTATAAGGCCAATGTTAAATTTTAAAATTTTCGAATGAGCTGTGCAGCGATATATGAATTTTCCTGTGTGGTCAATCATGTTTTCGAGGCTATAAGTCCCTAATTTCAAAATTTAGTGAAAATCCTTCTGTTGGATTTCGAGATATATATTACAGACTGACGGACAAACAGACTTTGCTTGTATTAGAGTATAAGATATATTTTCCTAAGAGAAGAAATCAGCAATCAATAAAATTAGTGTGATTGTAAAGCATAACTTAATACATGTATAATAACATTTTATTTTATGTATCTGTTAGCAGTAAGCAATCTCATTCATATCTAATAGCCTACAAGTGAAAGATGTCAGTGCACCATAAGTATACTAAGTAGGCCTACTTAGTATATAAATTCTATATAGTCAATGATATTACTTAACATTTCAAGCCAAGACCATTCCATTCAAATATTAAAAAGCAGTAACTAGTGATTCTACTGCTGATTTTGGATAAAAGGGAGAAAACATTTACCACTTAGACTTTAAATTATGCTTATGCCAAAGAACAGTTTTGGACATTGAGATGGAATAATGGCACACAAAAACAAAACCACAGAGGAAAACTTTGGTTATCACACTACAACTTTTTTTGTTGCTGTTAACAGTGTATTTTAAGATTTCCCTTAAAGTAAAAAAAATATTATAAACAATAAGCCCAGTGAACTTGAATTTTTTATCCTAAAGAGTCCTTGGAGCCTAGCTGTTTCAACTCATAAAACAATTGTAAAACTAAAAAAAGAAATTTCTAATTCCATAGTGACCTAGATTTTTCAATTACAATCCCTTTGGTATTTGAAAAAAATATTTTGAGATGGTATATAACACTTCATCGACTGTTTGAAATTAACATTGCTCTTATGGCAGGCAAATCCAAGATTGCCGTCAGCATTCAAGGATTCTCTTGGAAAACAATTATAAAACCACAAAGAAAATGTCTAATCCCACAGTTCCCTAAATTTAGATGCTAATTAACTTTTCAGCGACTGTTTGAAATTAATCCAAAATGGCCGCCAGCATCCAAGGACTCTTTTACATCGCAAACTTATAAGAAATGGGTATTCTGAATTAATATTTACAGTACATATTTGAAGAATAAATACATTTAGTTTAAACACGTTTTCATTCATAAACATATTTTTTTTTTTAGAAAGCTCCTCAGACTATTGAATTGCCAACTTCAAAATTCAAACAAATCCCAACTGTAGAAGTATGGAAAAATATGACTGTTCATCAACTAGCAGAAGCAATGGACAAGAATGTTGGTATGTATTTTCTTTTAAGCACACTAAGCAAAAAACCAATGGCTTGGTCCTTTGTCCGCAGTGCCATGTTATGTTGTCAGGATCACCTAATTTTTATATTTTATATATTGATTTATTTAACGGCACATCATTAAGGTTGACTCACATTTTACTAAAAACAGCCACAGAGTTCTAAAGGAAGTATTAAAAGATACCTAGCCTACTAAACAGGCAGTGTAGCCTGCCTTATAAATCCAAATCACCACTATCAGGAATGTTTGTATATACAGGTGTCCCGTAAGTAAACAGCCAAACTCCTGGAAATGGTTCTATGGGTCAAAATAAAGAGAAAATCAAGAATAACATTTTTTCCAAAATGGCTTCGTTAACCAGATTTTGATATTTTCACATTAACATTTTTATCTTTAAAGTTTTTCAACCGATCATTATGAAACTTGGTATGTATTAATACAATTATTTTGTTACCTTACAATATCCTTGTTTGACAGGGGTGCCCATTCCCCCTATAAGGCTTATGACACAAATTCCCCCCCCCCCAAAACTGGTCAAGACAAACCTCCCCCAAATCAGTCGTAGGTTCACCCCATAAATCAAGTGACACTTCAATAGTTCATTGCTTGTACATTTACCCACTTAGCACTGATTATTGAAACAAAACATTATAGTTACAAACACATTGGCTAAATAAACTAAAAAATAGCATAACATTTTCAGTTGATGCTAGATATTAAGGTAAACTATTAAACTAAAAAATTAAGTTTTATAAAATTCTCTTTGGTTTAATCAAAGCCGGTGTTAAGTAAACACTTAATCGAGGAAAGGTAATGTCAGTTGCAAAATGAATTAATTTAAAATATAAGAGTAAAATTTTGCCTACTACTAGTAGTACAGTTCTCGCAGCTAGTCTGGGCGCGCGGACCTTTGTGTACTAGCCGTCCTGAAAATTACGGCTCACTCACCCCCACAGCCCACAACCCTCAGTCACTGCACTGACGGCTGGAATGGTGGCACGATAATTTTCGTGACATATTTTCAAAGATTTCAAGACTTATAGTGCCCGTAGAAATATGATCTATACACCGTTAATTGGGTAAGGTTTTGGTATTAAATCTTCATTCATACAAGATACGATTTATTATTGTTGGTTCTGAATGTTTCAAAGGGAAAGGTAAAGTAACTTTTCTGCATCGCCTGAGTTAAAATTTTTAACTGTAATTTCACTAAAATCTTAGGATATAGTGAGTGTTCTATGAAAAGTCTTTATTCGTATACATATGCTATCAAAATATGCTAATAAAATACATTTTTGGTCAAATTAAAAATAGAGTATAAGAAATATGGTAAATGTATCAAAACTTCCGGTAGCCTATGTTAATGAAAATAATAACAAATGAAATACTTTAACCGAACGAACTATACCAAATAGAACTATACTAGGGGAAAAAAGCACAAAGTTAATTGTTTTACGTACTACATTTTTATTAAACATTTTTTGAAATTTAACACATGGTAACAAATTCAAAATTTGATATGTAGGTACAATTTACAAAATATGAACCAGCAAATTTTAATTAATACTATTTACATAATTGATACTTACAACAACAAAAAATCACCAAGTTGATAATTTAACTTTTACGTACATTTTAATTGAAATCTTTTATAAATTCAAAACAGGATGACACATTCAAAAATTTACATGTAGGAACAATTTACAATATCTGAAGCAGCAAATTATAATGAATACTATATACATGATTGATACATACAAAAACAAATCACCAAGTTGATAATTTAACTTTTACGTACATTTTAATTGAAATCTTTTAAAACAGGATAACACATTAACAAATTTACATGTAGGTACAATTTACAGTATCTTAAGCAGCAAATTGAATTAATACTATTTACATGAATGATACATACAATAAAAAAAATCACCAAGTTAATTGTTTTACGCACATTACGCATACACAAGGTTAACTAATTCAAAATTTGACATATACAATATCTGAAACACCAACTTTAATTGATACTAATTGATAGTCAATCATTAATTGTCAATGAATCAAGTAGATTGATACATACAATGTTTGAAAATCACAAACTCCATTTTTTTTTACGTACATTTTTTCCACATTTAACATTAGGGTAAGAATTTCCAAATTTAACATGTACAATTGGGTAACAATATGTGAACCATCAGCTAATATAATTAACAGGGCACTATTTACATGATTGGTATATACAATTTAATCCAAGTCTTCAATGCCACTCAAACCATCACTCAAACCATCACTGCTGTCGCTGTCGCCATTTCCTAGTGATATTACCATAGTTTCCACGAGTTCGTCGATCCGTGGCTCATCTGAAGCGTAATTGTTTTCAATCGTTTTCACGTGCTCACACTTAGATTCCCATTCTTTGGCACCGATAAGGTTAAACTTTTCCTCTGCTAAGGTCTTGATGCTCTCAAAGCTGCATTGGACGTTTCTGCTTGCTACGTATTTCTTGACTCAGCCCAAACAAGCTCGATGGGGTTCAAGTCTGGATGGTATGGAGGAAGACGTAGAACAGCTTGTCCATGAGTGGTAACTAGTTCGTCAAGTTCATAACGAACAAATCTTGGTTTGTACTGAAGAATGAGTTTGTACAATTCTGGAACCAGCAAATCATCAGAAAACAGTATCCTGTGTTGTGTGAGCCAATCCTGAAATGAAATAATTTGTTCAATGTGCTATACAGCATACACAAAATACACACTTTTGAAATACATTCAAACATTTATAGCATATAAACTCACCATAAGGTAATAAGAACATATCTGCATTACTTATTGTAGTAATGGAAGTTAATACAGTGTTTTTTCTTTGGAAAATTGAAATAGCTTAGCATAAAATCCATAAACAGGGAAACTGCAACAGTTTAGTTATATTCTTCGTAAGAATTACATGGAAATTTGTAATTAACAATTATCTTCGTAACCAATAACCATACAAAATGAATTAATCTAAATTAATTTAAGGAAAATATTTACCTTCATTTCTTGTTTTCTGCTTTTCGAAGTAGGCGCTTTGTCTGTTTGTGAATTGTGGTAGGGGGCGTTGTCGACAACAATCACAGATCTTGCTGGTATGTTTGGTAAAAGTTTTTCGTTCATCCACTTAAACATTGTTTCCTTATTTACATTATCGTGGTAATCACCCGTTACCCTTGATGCCTTCCACATTGTCAAGGCATTTGGAACAAATCCAGCTTCACTTCCTGTGTGTATCATTATCAATCTTTGCCCTTTGGAAATGGGTGCACGCATTCCTTTGGCTGATTCATCTGACCACGATGCACTTTTTACATGGCTTGTTAAAATGTAGGACTCGTCCAGGTAAATAATTTGACGACCTTCATTTCTGTAACGTTTGAGTGATCTTAAAAACGAAATCCTCTTTTCTCTTATTTCATTAGTTTCAATTAACAACTTACGGTTATTTTGTGTTTTCCTCCATTTAAACCCAAGATCTCTAAGAATTATTCTGAGGCTAGACACCGATCCTTTAAAGTCCATCCGCTCTTTTAATTCTTCTCTTAAAGATACTGTTGGCAGTTGTTTTTTTTGGAAATGGAATTCGTATACTAAACGTCTGATGAGGGCTTTATCAAACTCGTCCAATCCTGTGATAGGCCTATTTCGACTACCCTTGAGTTTTTTTGGAGTACAAAAACTGCCCTCTTCGTCGTCACCAAGAACTGTTAGATTTTTAAGTTCATTATTTATTCGTGTAATTTCCCGCTCCGAAACTCCTGTAGCCACTGCTGTTCGGGTACGGGCCTTTGACAAGGCAATGCTTAAAGTTTTGTCATCCGCCTCCTTTTTCATGAATTTATAAACATTACTTACGATTTCACGACCTTGGCTGTGCAGTATTCTACCCTTCAATTTCGTTTTCACTCTGTCACACATAATAACATTGATTTAAACTTGTTATTTAATATAACACTCGATATATGGACGAGTTAAATAAAGAATCAAACACAATTTAAATACAGTATGAAGAACACTGCCGCTTTACGAAGTTATCTCTTATAAGACACGTTTCGCACTGGCATTCGATATTGTTTTGACGGAAGCAGACTTTAAAATATGCATAACGAGAATGATGAGTCACAGGTTGGTCATCCCCGGTCATCCTCCCCCCCCCCCTCCACCACGACAAAGCCGTGAAAGACAGCGCTGAGGCGCTGAACAACCCCAGAGAGCCGTGTGTGCCAGATGTTTTTGGAAGTGAGGAATAATCACTCCCCGCTACACCCCCCGCATTAGCATGGCCGCGCGCCCAGACTAGCTGCGAGAACTGTACTCAGTGCATTCCAACGTAACCTTGCAAGAAACATACGTAAAAAAGGTTACAAATTTGTTCAATAGGATGTGAAGACTGCTTGCAATATCCAAAATCAATGATGACTATATTGTTGTTGCTACTTCTCAGAACTGATTGGTAGAAACTAAAAATCATGATTACAAAATTGTGTACAAAGCAAATTATGTACTGTAGTTGTGTAGTTCTCTAAAAATTGTAATTATGTGTTTATCACCTTGTTTTAATGAACATGCATATTTTAAGGCCTAATCAAACCACATGTTAAGCAATTTAAAATCAAAAACAACAATTTGTTAAAATATATTAAAACATTTCAATTTTACAGTTTCCACAAAAGTCTATTAGGAAAATAATTCCCACATGCATGATGTTTACAACTAGAGGGAAGAGGTTAATACAGCAACGGTTATACAATATTACTTTGTTAACAATATTTCAATATTACAATTACAATATTATTCAATTACAGTATTTCCTTTGATCAATAAACATTTTAGACCCACCACTTAGCTGTATAAAATATTCTTGTACAACTAAATCGGCTGCTAGACTATTAAGAATCTATATCTATATATATATATATAATACGTGAAGCCGTTTTTTGTTAACGCAACTCCTCCCTTA